GTCCTCGATTGCCACACTGCTCACATTGCCTGCAAGTTCGCTGAGCTCGTTGAGAAGATCGATCGTCGTTCCGGTAAGAAGCTCGAAGACAACCCCAAGTTCGTCAAGTCTGGTGACTCTGCTATCGTCAAGATGGTTCCTTCCAAGCCCATGTGCGTCGAAGCTTACACTGACTACCCTCCTCTTGGTCGTTTCGCTGTCCGTGATATGCGTCAAACTGTCGCTGTCGGTGTCATCAAGGCCGTCGAGAAGGTTGACAAGGCCACCAAGGCCACCAAGGCTGCTGTCAAGGCTGGCAAGAAATAAATTCATTTCAATTAGATTTTCATCTCATATCTATTTTTTCAATTGCCTTCCTACCAACGTAAAAAAGATGTCAAAAATATGTTATGCCAAACACATTTTGTTCCAAAATAAATATATTCTCTAAAATGGCAAATTTTTTTCCCAATTTCTTTCACAATGTTGCGTCAACTATACTTTTGTTATGTTGACAACAGACAAAGGTGTGATATAATGCATTCCGCAGTGTAGGAGACAATGCTTTAGATTTTCATTGAAGGATCAAGTTTTTTAAAACCACTTAACCTCAACTGTGTATAAAAGACACCTGTCAAAGTTGTTTACGGCTACGTACAAGTTTCATGATTGATATACTTTTTTTTTTAAGAAATGTTTAAACGAAAGGATCAAGATTATTCGGAACAGTGAAAGAAAAACGTCTATTGTGGACCTGGGCCTTCGGGTCCTTTGAGGGATGATCTACCGGCACGCATCATTTCGTCGACAAGTAGCAAGTTGCCAGCAATGACAGAGCTATAGTAAAACAAGTTGATTAATATCATGTGAAGTATGGTCAGATTAAGTAGCTGATTTTAAGTGTTGCTTTTAAACTTACCAAGAGTGAAGCATGTGACGGTGTACTCGATAGTTGTCCCAAATACCTTCAAGAACAGGGTCGGTCGTTTCACCAGTCTGAAGATCAATGCCAACGACGTGACCATCAGCATGTTCTTCCTGAAGAGCAACGATCACATCTTGTGCGTCGAAACCACCGTTCTGTGCCAAGACCTTGGGAATAACGAGGAGAGCATCAGCAAAAGCTTGAACACCCATCTTTGCGCGGCCCTTAACCTGCTTCTTGTACTCAATCAAATGCTGAGAGCAAGCTACTTGGAAAGCACCACCACCAGCAACAAGCGATTTATCCTCAATTGCGTTCTTGACAGCTCGGAGACCATCGCGAACAGCATCATTGATTTGAGTGATGGAGTGAGGGTTAGGTCCCTTGATAAGCAATGTGACACTCTTGGGGTCCTTGACCTCCTCCACGAATGTGAACTTCTCTTCTCCAAGGACGTGTTCGTACACAAGACCGGCCCAACCAAGAACATCTGGTGTAAGATCATCTACAGAGTTCTGAGCAACACCACCGCAAACAAGCTGAAGTCTCTCCATGTTGCGTCTCTTTGCTCGGCGAAGAGCAAGAATGTTGTTCTTGGCAAGGATATCCAAAGAAAGAGGGTCAACACCCTTCTGGTTGATAACCACAAATCCATTATCAGCGTTTTCGCCAGAGCAGACGGTGTTCTTGAATTCTACGATCTTGCGGATTTTGTCGTCAACATGCTTTCGTTCGGATTCTACGAGCTTCTCGCGTTGTTCAGGGGTAGAGTAGAAGAATCCAGAGTTGATTTCACTGAAACGGGCCCGCAATTAGTTAACCACATTATATCACAATTTCCATCCCATCTGATAAACCATTACCTCTTTTCATATTCCAAACTGACATTGAGTGTAAGGATGAACGCATTCTTAACACGCTTGGGCATATCAGGGTGGCGAGCACCGTGATCCAGTACCAAACCACGAACGAGTCGCGAGTCAGTTTCAGATCTGTGTTGCATCTTCATAACTTCAACCATGTGGAGATCAATGGGCTCGCCTTCACGGTGGATTGTAACAACACCATCAACAACGGCTTCAGTCAAAGAATCGGCCAAAGAACGGTGGACCTTAGTACGGAGGGATGTACGAGCGACCGACACCAAAGCTTCGCGGTCAATATCTTCCTTAACGGTTTTGAATTTCTCAAGGAACTAAGAAAAGGAAAGATCAGTTAGATTTGCGACCAACTGAATCACTTTAGCCCTTAGATATTCTTACCTCCAAGGCCTCCTTTTTGGCCAGATCATAACCTTCTGTAATAACGCGTGGATGAAGGCCTTCTGAGACGTATCTCTCCGCTTGCTTGAGAAGTTCACCGACCATAAGAACAACAGATGTAGTTCCATCACCAGTGATTTCATCCTGTGCAGTGGCAGCCTTGGCAATCATGGCAGCAGTAGGATTTTGAATTTGCTATATGACAAATCGTGTAAGAACCTAGTGCGCTCCTCGTCGTCTGCGTATCTAAACATTCAAAAACGTACCATTTCTGATAAAAGAACTTTACCATCCTTAGTGAGCTTGATAGCTCCTGCGCCATCTACAAGCCTGTTATAATTGGATGATTAGTGATTCGACCTTGCAGAGATGATAAATGACAGGTGACTGTATTTCTCTTGACTTACATCTTGATGGTACCTTTGGGACCGAGATTGGACTTGAGAACATCTTGCAAGCCAATGGCAGCTGTAATGTTCATTTGAAGAGCTTGTCCTCGTCGGGCAACCTCGGAATTGGGGTTGATCGCCTGAATTGCGGAGGCCCTGAAAAATAGATGAAGGGCATGTCAACATACGGCAAGATCCAACTAGCAACTGGCTAGACAATAGAATTGCAGCACTGATCGTCATCTACAGAGATGGAGCCGATCAGGGCCATTGATGAGATACAAACATTTCTTATAGTTTTGATTGACGAGCAGCCGAGATCTGTAGGACGACTTGGAACGCGCGACTTTTTTTTGAGTCGCTTGAGCAATAACTGGTTAAACGCTGAGATCATCGGCTGTGAATGAAATTTAAATATGTCACAAAAATTATCTGGAAGGTGAAAATGTTATAAGTTCTGACAAACATGAAGCAGCCTCCATTGAATCTTGAAAAAGAACTCTATAAAAGCTTCATACAACCTCAAGAGGTGTGATTTACTGAAGTTCTGTAGAGCCCTTACGTTTTCTGAGAACAGCTGAAGCGTGCAATTCGGGAAGCTGAAGATATGAATTCCACGCTGCCACTTTAAATTATGCTGATTCATCGAGCGATGGATATCTCTATGTACCAACTACTGTGTTTTTGACGGTGACCGTCAGAATGATTGCTGAATGGTTCTTCCGACAGCCTGCCACGACAAACCGGCATGTTGGTATTCCATAATTGGTATATTGTTTTTGCCACTACGGTACCTTTTTTTTTTTTCATTCCTCGTATCATGGAATATCTACAACTTTTCACAACTAGATAAACAGAGATTAAAATTGCATTAAATGCATTCATGAAGGTAAAGAACATCATGATGGAAATCGTTCTTCATGACTTGCCCTTCCAAGAGCCTTTAGTTGACATTTTTGGACACAACAAGAAGGAAATCATTTACCCATGTGACTGTTGTAATGCACGTCGTCGCCGAAAATCCCTGTCAGTTCAACACTTTGCTCTTGAAAAGGAAGTAATGCCAATCCGACGACGGGCTAAGGGCAATACGACCAAAGGCTCTAATAACGGCAAATCAAGACCAGCAGATCTTACCAAAGATACTGAAGATGCCCTAGATCAGAATGCACTTTCACCCGAAGATATACTAGCTGATTCGCAATCTTTGAGCGAGAGTCCCCAACCTTGGTATCGGAAGCGAATCTTCCACTTTGCTTTGGGCTTGTCTATTGGCATTTTAGCTGCTTTTGGGGTTGGATCTACTCCAATGGCACAGTCTCATATTAGCGAGTTTCAAGACTTTGTGGCCATGTATATCGCTGATATGGACATTTCAAGTAAGATACCGAACTCGGACCTTATGGATGAACTTTTCGGAAACATGACTAGCTACATCAAACCCGTCCCTGCAAGTGAGCAGCCATTTATGCCCGGTCTTCAAGTCAAGTAAGTGAATTGAATATAGGGGGTGTATAAGCCAATCCTCTCGGCTGATGAATTTCCCATAGAGAGGAGTTCGATCTCAGTCCCCACTTTCCTGTTGTCCTACTACCTGGTATTGTATCAACTGGTTTAGAAAGCTGGAGTACTTCCAATTGCTCGCAAAACTACTTCAGAAAGCGAATGTGGGGCACAACAAGTGAGTTTAGGAGAATTATAATGCTGGAATGAGACTATGATTGACTAATTTACGACATACAGCGATGTTCAAGGCGGTGTTGTTTGATAAGGCATGCTGGACCCAGCACTTGAAGCTAGATCCTGTTACAGGACTTGATCCCGAGGGTATCAGACTACGTGCGGCTCAAGGTATTTAGCAAAAAGTGATTGATCTGTCATTTTCGAGGTGACCATGAGATAATGACGAAATTATACTATCAGGTCTAGATGCAGCTGATTATTTCGTAACAGGGTAAAGCGCAGTAACTTTTTTTGTCCAGTTTGCTACTAGACATGCTTACCAACTCTAGCATTGCCTTATAGATACTGGGTGTGGGCAAAGATCATTGAGAATCTTGCGGCTAGTAAGTGGAACCAGGCACCGGTGTCACAACTTTTTTCAAATCAGACACTGACACTTTTAAAACTGATTCACAGTTGGCTATGACTCTAACATGATGTACCTTGCAAGTTATGACTGGCGACTTTCTTATCACAATCTTGAGGTTCGAGACAAGTTCTTCACCAAATTGAAAACACAAATCGAAATGTACAAACAGATTCATGGAAAAAAGACGGTTGTCATGGCGCATTCTATGGGTGAGTAATGTGGACCGTTTGTTCATCAGTATCGAAATAATCAAATACTGAAAATATGATCTTTAGGATCTACACTTTTCCCATACTTTTTAAAATGGGCAGAAAGTCCGAATGGCGGACACGGTGGTAAATCATGGACAGAAAACCATATTGAAGCGTTCGCCAACATTGCCGGACCTATGATTGGTGTGCCTAAAGCTTTGGCCTTCATGCTTTCTGGCGAAACCCGTGACACCATGCAGCTTGGTAGCTTTGGAACCTACTTGCTTGAAAAATTCTTTTCTCGACGTGAACGCGCAGACTTGATTAGAACATGGGCAGGCGGATCCTCAATGTTGCCCAAAGGTGGTGACCAAGTTTGGGGTAATTTGACATGGGCACCCGACGATAGCGTCAACCCAGAATCGACAGGCGTTTCATACGGAGCAATGATTACATTCGCTGAAGAAGCCAAAGACTTGAACGCCACTAGCGAAATCCCCAAATACGATTCCTTCAAGACCTCAAACTACACATCAAAGTCAAGTATAGAACTATTGTATCAATCCACATCTCAGGAATTCAATGATCAACTCAGATTAAATTACTCATATGGTATAAACACCAACAAGAAACAGTTGGCGAAGAATGACGACGATCACACCAAATGGGCAAACCCATTGGAATCACAGCTTCCCAATGCGCCTAACATGAAGATATATTGCATGTATGGTGTTGGCGTAGAAACTGAGCGAAGTTACTACTATGGCAAATCCGACGGCACCAAAACCGTTTGCAATGCTGGCAGCAACGAACAGTGTGTTGTAACCGAAGCCGAAAAAAGTACTGAAGACGTACTGAAAGACGACAAGATGTTGGAACGCCTGTTCCGTGCTTTCAAACGCAAAACTGGTGACAAAGAAACCGCCATAGAAACAATTGATGATCAACCATCAAGCTTGGTATGAAATTATCTGCTTCTGATATGATAAAGACTTTGCCTGCTTCTAATGGCTTGCTTTTTTTTTAATCGCAGTTCATTGATAGCACGGTGAACAGGCCGGACGAGAACATCCGAACAGGTGTTCGGTTTGGTAACGGGTGAGTAAAATTTTACATAACAGTTCAATTCTAGGGCCACTTTACTTACCAATTGTATATATTAAGCGACGGAACGGTTCCTCTTCTTTCATTGGGATACATGAGTGCGCCTTCTGGTGGATGGACCAAATACGCAGATTTGTATAACCCTGGTCGCAGTCCCATCATTGCCAGAGAGTACGTGCATGAGGCCAGTGATAGTGCCCTGGATGTCCGCGGCGGCCCAAAAGCGTCTGATCACGTTAATCTACTAGGTATGTACAAAAAAGTCATTATTCAATGGCATAACGAAGTAATGCGACTTACCTTTGAATGCTTTTGTACCATCAGGTAACTGGGAGATGATAGGAGACTTACTGCGGATCGTTTCGAATAAGCCGGAGAATGTCACTCAACGTATCTTGTCAAACATCGAAGAATATGCTAATGCCGTTGACCTTACCGCTAATGTATAATTATCTAGCCTTCTTTTTTTTTTTATCTTGTTTACCTATTACTGTCTACAGTGCATGTGTAGCTAAACCATCTTCTGATCTCATGTTAAAATATCACTGTATTGAAACATAGCCTGTCTTTTTCATAGCAATCATTGAGCATATCGTTTTTGGTTCTAATAACGTACTAGCCAGCGCATCAACTGTATTGTATTTCTTTTTGTTTTTACTCCACACATGATGTTACTGAAAGGCTCTACGTCTGAACGTATATTGTATATTTTAGTATGCTAATTCTATTAAGGCGAACATGAACAGGGGAACCACAAGGTTATCATTTTGCGTAGAGAATGCCTCCATCAAACCAGTCATGGAGACCACAATAGTGTACCATCCCCAGACATTCGCATCAAATTTAAGAGAAAGAGGCGACATGGTATATAAGATAAGTCCTGAACCAAACAAGACACTGAGGACAAATGCTAAAGTTCCTTCGATTGTTTTGTGGCTACGGAACCATCGGATTCGACCGAAGCGCTTGCCAACAATGGATGCCTAATTAGCAGGAAAGGGAAGTAAAGTTTAAAACTCTTGTTAGATACTCCAGCAATGACATCTAAATAATGAGTATGTGCTTACCATAGCATCTCCAAAGCCGAGGGTAAGGATACCAGAGAGACTAGCCAAGACGCTCGATCTAAGGCCAAATAGTTAGAGACAGTGATTTCTATTCCTTTCAAATGTTTAAAATTCCATACCCTTCTAACCAGACGGATTCAGCACATCCAAGTAAAAGATAAACATGACTTAAAATGACAGGTCCGAGATCCCGACTGTCAATAAATTCAGTCAAGAAAATGTGGATACTTTTGCCATACGGCCAAACCGCAAAAAAACGCAAGTACTCCAAGTATATAAATGCGCCTAGAGCAACCGAGAAAGCGAGTTGTAGGAATGCTGGCTCGTAGAGCAGTCCAGGAACAAACATAACCACTGCAAGCGCATGGAATAATTTTCTCTTCTTGTTTAAGCTACTTGTTAACTGCTTCACTGTCGCCGGCTGAGTACCAACGTGAGCAGACTGCGGTGAGTCATGCACATCAAGGACAAGTACCCAAATAACGACTGTAATTGCGATAGCTATAGCCCAGAACAAGCATAACGTTATACGCGGAGGTGACATGAACACGTATTTTACAGTCCTGGATGATTGGGACAAATGGCATGATCAGTCTCAAATGAACTTATTTTGTAGACAGTATCCCAACCGAACCTACCATAGAAATGCGTTTTCTCCTAGCAATGAAGTGCAAAGAGGGGAAATCAAAAAGATGACTGCCAGTGCTGTGATGAGATATATGCTCAGGGCAGTTAGAATTTTGCGTTGACGAAGGGAGGACTGTCGTGTATTTCCAGTCGATAAGGTCTTCCAATACCGTCTTTGTGCAAGACTTCGAGAGTGCCAGAGGATAGGATAAGTTATTAGGCCAATGAAAAGGATGCCAAGGATAACGGCATGACCGAGCACCTTAATTGGCGATAACTTGCCATTTCCAGAAATAAAGCGAGGTAAATGGTTTGGCATGAACTATAACACTCAGGTTAGTGGATACAATAGCAAGGATATAATGTTTAACATATGTAAGCATGGGTTACTCACTTTACACATTAATATAGTAGTTGCGTTCATAACAAGAAAGGTACCGGCCTGTGCAATTAGACACATCTCACCAAACGTAAAGCTTCTTCTTAGTGCTGTTGCGCACAAATAAAGGTTGAGTTGGAATATGATGATATGCATCAGTACATAACCGAGAGGAAGAGTTTGCAATATCGTTGTAAACGGTATGAATCGAACCAGCACAACCGTTAATCCACTCGATATTATCAAGGTGGAGACAAGCACACCATACTTGAGACTTAGTCGACGAAACGGGCGCATAAAGTAACTTGCGTGAATATGGAAGGTACTGATTATACCAAACAGTAGAACAAGTTCAAAAACGGCATGGTAGTACGCCACTAACAAACACTAGTCAGTAACGGCTGATATCCGGTCAATAAGCTAGAGGATTATAACCTACAGTCATTCGTCGTATCCTTCTCATCCGTAACATTGCTAGCAGTGCTGGCATATTTGGCAGAAGCTAGCAGTGGAGTCAACAGAATACCGCAAAGAGCACCATCATCAGCGCCACTCCTGTACGGGTAGGATCAGCTTCATATTTGGCACATATACCCTATTGAAGAATAGAAAAATTGAACGTACCTAAAACATGCTCTGCTTTTCCCAAATAAACGACTGCGACCAACCCTTGTGTCTCTGAGCTTTGTGACTTTTTCTGAAGATGCTGATCCATTCCGGCCGTTGAAAGGCCTGGCATCATGTGTTCGCCTTTTCCTTGAAGGAGAATCCACAACCTTTTCTATGTTTACATCGCCATCAGCATCATCTGATGAGTATGAAGAGGAAATATCCGATGCCGATTTCGGCTTTGCTCGAAAGCTGAGCAACGTGGCAAGGAAAGAGAGGCAGGTGAACACAACAAGCGATCGGGCCAGAAAAGTCGGTGTATCATTTTGAACAATAGCCTGGGTATCATATAATCTTTTGGCTGCCCATAATGCAGAGATAATCCATATGATGCGCTCTCCGGCAGACACATCGAGAATCTCTTCGCCATCGTCTTCGATCCGCCATGGATCCAGTTTCGCTATCATGGGCTCTACAACCGGCCGTCTCCTACGTGTGGCGATTGAGAAAGAATTCTCTTCAACAGATGAAGCAGAAGCAAAGCCGCTCTCGTAGTTTTGATCTTTTGGTGGAGCCAAGTGCTTGACTTCCTCGGGAGTGTTGGAATTGCTGCTTTCGGACGGTGATGGCGGTCTGACGAGAGGGTCGATGGAGGACAAAGCAGTGTGGTACTCGACGGCAGGTGGGCGATCTTGCGAGCGTCTAACGGCTGCAGACGACGGCGGTACTAGCTTGTCTCGAATGATTGTAAAGAGATTGTGTTAGTGGGGGGACCTCTCAAAGGTTATTAGCGGGCCAAAGTGGCCTTTACCATGGACTTTTTTTAAAGCCCATCACGTGAAATCGCAGCACTTGGATTTCCAAGGTTCTTGCTCTGGCTAACCCATGCACAATCAATGAGCCAAGTCAAAAGTGACGAAGCAGAAGAGAACTGGCCAGATCCCAGCCGGCATCTCAATGAGCTTCAGCATTTGCGGCAAACTGTTCAAATGCCCCTGAAGCATCCTTCCACATCATCAACGACGGATACAGACACCCGCCGTCGGCCAAAACCAACCGATGCTATACACAAGAAATCGCACTCATTTTTTTCCACCTCACCATACCTATCGTCTCCTCAACCTTTTTCTGAAAGTGAGGCCTCCGATTCACCATTCTTTCCTGACCGGACAGCTTCCACCAAGCGGAGAGCTCGCTCTAGTTCGTCCGCGGGCTATTCTCCAACTCCGTCAACGTCGTCCAGCCGGGCACCATCGGCCGAAAGCTTATCAAAGCCTTTCTCACTCGATAAGAATAAGAGCTGGCTGCAGGAAGCTTCTGGTTCAGAAATTGGTAGTATGTCTCCGAATGTGGATAGAAAGTCTTCAAAACGATTGTCCAAGGAACCTAGACGAAAGCAGGAGGACAAAGAATATCGTGATCCTACCCGTGCCTCTGGTATGTACCTATTATCACATATGTACATTTGCCATGAAAATCTACTAATGTCAATGTTCAGCACCAAAGAAAATTGGCTCATCAAGTAGCACTGACCTTCTAGACACTCTAAAAGGAGATATTTTCAAATTGACAGAGATGACAACCGGTCGCTCAGACACTACAAAACAAAAGTCTTTGGTTAGGAATACATCAAATTCGAGTAAGCAATCTTCTTATCTAATGTTATTGGCCTGGTTTGATAACAAAATGCTGATGTGGGTACCATTTTTATAGGACAGTTAAAGCCGCCATTCAAACCTAGTGAAAGAACAAAAACAGCAGCCAGGCATTTGCGGGCCTCCATCGAGCGCCGCTATGCGGTTATTGCCGACATTATAAATGATGGGGAGGTTTATAACCCACTTGATGTGATGAAGCACCGACCACTAAGGCTGGAAGACAGAGAAACATATGATGGCTTTCAAGATGATCGATATATACCTTTACTGGATCCATGGTATGTTTCCACTGACGAAATTGTGTCTGATATGCGATGGCGAAAAGCACAATTGGAAAAAGCGTCAAAGACCGCGAAAAAAATTCAACCAGAGCAGGATCTCAATATGGACAAGGAGCAACAGCTCAATATACCCAGCGGGCTAATGGATCACTCGCAAGGCGATACACTTATGACTCTTAAAGAAGCAGTGAAGGCTGGACCATCTGGATTATCGTTTGCGCAACGAAAAGGCATTAGTTCGGTATCCCCATCTTTATCACCGGCATCTACCCCGCCCCAATCTCCGAAGCTAAACAACTATACGGACCTTGGCTTTGAAAGTATGGCCAAGGACGAAGAGGAAGGAAAGGAATTCACTGAAAAACGGAAGTCATGGTCCAAACCATTCTTCAAAAAGGATAAGGGAAAACTCAAGATGAAAGCAGATGCTGATGCTGAAGTCAAAAAGCGCTACCGTAATGACGAATATTTACGATTCACTCAAATGTCACCTACGAAAGACAGAGAGTTATCTCCTCAATTATCCAATCATAGTGATAGCACTTTCAATGATCGTCCGTTACACTTTGGACAAACGCTGCTGGTCCCCATTGATCGACATGTCAGTGGCCCACGTGGCCATCGTCGATCGCTATCGACCATGGATGTCTTACCAGTTCCCACTCCACAACCACTGGGCACCCCAGACCCGTTTCCAAGTGCCGATGTAAGCGAGGGGGAGCTATCTTCGGCAGATTCAAAGAAGCGACCACGACTCAGCTCTCGCCGTCATTCATTTGATAGTCTGCGAGCATCATCAAGAGGTAGCCATCGCCATTTTGGAATTTGGCATGATAAACACCATCGAAAAAATGGACCAATTCATTCCGACACAGATCCGTTGTATGATGGTTACAGTAGAGGACATAGACTCCCTTTTGTTCGTAGTGCACATAACAGTGAATATGAGAGCGACAGTAACGAGAGTGATAGCAAAGGGCACACTCGTAGCAGGAAGGGTCTAGGGATTCGACACTTTCTGAAGAAGGAATCAGAATCTACGGTATGCTTCATACTGATACAGAATGCTTTTGATATAGGGATTTTTTTTTTAATATTGACTTTATCATATTCGTTAGACCAAGTCTCCAAGGATATCTCCAAACTCTCAAGAAGAAGAAGACCGTAGGCGGGAGCATCCATCAGCCAGTATTTCACCTCAACCGTCGTTGGCAACACGCGTTGCATTACAAGAACAGAGACTTCGTGAGATGGCAAACTATAGCAGCGATCAAGACGACAGTTTGGATCTCCAATCTGCAAGTGATTTTGAGGGTAGCATCATACCAAATCAGCCGCGTAGCGAGGAAAGTGACCAAGGGTCACCTACCATACCTCAAGATCAAGATGAGGAAGAGAGACACATTGTGAAGCTGACGTTACCGTATAATGACATTCCGCCTGAAGTACACAATATGATCCAACAGTACAAGGCGATGGACAAAGCTGAAATCACCTATGCTAAGGAAAAGAAACGAGACGATGAAGAAAGCTCGGTGGATGTAGCAGATTCCATCCATACAGCAGATGCTGCTTCTGAAGCTGATGTAGTCACTGAATCTGAAGCAGACACTGAGGACAATTCGAATGACAAGAACGACGATAATAAATCTGACGACGAAAACACCATGTCCGATAGTAAGGCAGAAGATAAAATAGGTGGGTGCATGAAAAGTATGCCATTTCAGACGTAAAGAGAGGCTTTGTCTGACTCAGGTTCTACTTAGTTATTGTGGAGGCTAGTGACAAGGATGATATTGAGTTTATCAAACTTTTGAACGTCAGTCTCAGCATACCCAATACAAATGGTAAGTCAAAGGCAAGTAGTGCAATACTGGGAGTCAATGAATGTGACTGATAGTTTTCTATCTGTAGGCATGCTAGTTGATCTACACGTCTCCATGTTAGGTGATCCGGATCAAGACTATGAAAGGTATGCCTTGTTGGATAGTTTAGCATTGCAAACCTTACTATGGCCGTCTAATCGATCCCCTCACTCTTAGGTATGAGCCGATCTTGGTAGAAAATATGCAGCATGTGGAGATAGAACTGCAAAAGGCAAAGTCCCTATCTCAAGAAGCCAAGGTAAGATAAATAAAGCTCTTTATCATTGAATCAAATACTTCCATAGTGCTAAACCTGCTTCACAGGCGTTCTATTTGGAACATCGACAAGCTATCCAAGAGCTGGTACTTGATGATAGTAATGATTACAGTGACAAAAACAATCCTAGCCCTAGTAGCTCAGTTGGCAGTGGTGGATTATTCCTCCCCATCAAGCCAGAAGGGGAACGGCTACTGCTTAATAGCACCGAAACAGATAGTGTCTACTCGTCATCTACCCATTCTCCATCAAGATCGAGAGAAAGTTCTATTAGCAACATCGGTCACGATCTTCAACGAGCACCCTCACTGCTTCTCAACAATGTACCTTACCGCTCTGTCAGTCCATTTGATTATCGACAGGAAGAAGTCAGACTTGGCATTAATGCATTGCGAAGCGAAATGGATAGTTTTCAGCAAATCCTGTATGAGACTGAGAACTTGATTAAGGGTATCCAAACTGATATGAATAATACTTCAGACCGAATGCCCACCATTCTGCATGATATCCCAGAAGACGACTACTCCTCTGTAAGTATTCATTATGCAACAAACGGTTCCATACGCTTAACGTTTAACTCTGACACCTTTCAAGTTAAAAATTCTAGAAGTTGAGGTAGAATCTATCCTCGCTAATCGAGCCAAAAGTCCTTGGCTGGACATGGGATATGCTTGGCTCTCATATGTTCTAGCATGTAAGTAACCTTTGCCGGAGTGAATGATGATTTGGAAAATTTCTGTTGACTGATATACTCGATTTTAGTTATTGCTTTCCTAGTGTGGGTCATCATCCGAATCATCAAGTGGATTCGCGCTGTCGTTATCTTCCCTCGCACTCTTTGGACAACCTACACTGAATACCTGGTGGAGCGTGATAAGGCTGTCAAACGCGCCAGTTTGCAAACTGTCACGTCTGGTCTAGATAAGGTACCATTCAGTAACGACAAAAATCACCGATCGCATCGACACCGTCATCTTCGTCAAAGGAGCTCAGGCGCAGATTTAGGGCCTAGACCATCATATACAATGTAGTATTTCTACATTCTTTTTTCCATGTGTCCTTCTCTTTCTACTGTACATAATTCTGAGGTACCTCTTTATTCATTATATACATATACATACCTCAACGTCTATGATTAGGTATGGCATAATTTTCGGTATATTCTCCAAATACAGACACCATTCTTTGTATAATCTGGATGCAGTTCATATTCTTCTATTTTAGTAAACATGAAGCCCTGCGTTTGTAGAGATTCAAACAATATGTTATCGATTCTTAGAGATCGAGTTTGATGCGCCAGCAAGATGACTCCATTTGGCGCAAGAGGTAATTCTACAGCAAAGATAAAAGCAAGAGGCGAGGTATTAGTGCTTTATTTCAGGATGCGGTTGTGAGTACTCAACAAAAAGTTGCTTGGTCTTACCAGCCATGGTTTGCACCAAATGAGGCACTAAATATTCCACCCACACAACATCAGAGCACAACACAACATCAAAAGGAGGTTGCGAGAGCTTTTCTAAGTCTTTTTCTCTGCAAAGCGTTGTGTTTAATGAAAGTGACTTACCATTCAATAACAATATTACAAACCTTACCTATGAAGCCAATCTAATGGCTGAATACTCTCTATCCAGCCAGGCCCCCGACCATTGACATGCAAGTCATTGATATCTGCCACATGGTGTGCTGCATTGATGGCATCAGCAGCATCAGTAATCACAACCCGAGCCCCAAGAGCTGCCGCTGCAATGGATGGCAGTGCTTTTCCGGCACCTAGTTCGATGACACGCTTGCCGCATACCAATGTGGGATGTTTCTCTAAATACTTTGCGAGGATGACACCACAGTCCCACAAACTGGACGCTGTCCGTATAACATGATCTTGTTCCTCCTCATACATGTCTTGTCGTGAATCTGATAACCATACCGGAACGTTATTAATGCAAAAGTAATTTTCACCGGCTTTGGGGGCAGCAGGTTTTTGAAACTGAAAACCAGGAAACCTAGGACCTTCTATCGCCAGAATAGGTTTATAATGTTCTTCAGGTTCAGACTCTTCTCTTTTCCGCCTTCGTTCTTCCAGGATGCGGATTTGCTGTGGTGTGGGCATTCAGCGGTGGTAAATGGTCACTGTAGGAAAAAACCAAGCGGGCAGCAACCCACTCATTTTTGATTTTGTGGCAGTGACAAACAGCGTTTTTCCAAAGTTGAAAAGCGAGTCAGGTCCACTTTTGGCATTCTGACATTCAGACCAGTATTCTCTTCTTTTGCAACACTATTTAATTGATGGGGAGACGAAAGGGTAAAAGTATGAATAACAGTTAAGAATGGAACTGAAGCCGAGGTAGTAGTGTTGAAAGAGTTGTTTGCAGGTGCGTCGGATGCAGGACCACAAACCCTTCGTCGTAGCCGCCGATTACAAAAGGTGAGTGGAACTCTTGTTGCCATGCAGCTAGATCATGCTTATAACTTTTCTTCTGGTATTAGCATTTTCTGGCAGACGACGGATGGGGCACGCAAGGTCTTAGCCGATTACTGCAAGAACTAGGATTTTGCACAAAAGACATGGCAGGCGATGGCAACTGTCTCTTTCGGTGACTTAACTTCTTCCAAGTGCTATGGTCCCTGAACGCAGATCACTCTGAATCTAATGCCATTGTCTTCCAGAGCACTATCAGATCAGTATCATGGTAACGATAAGCAGCATGCAGAAATCCGACAGAGTGTATGTCAATTTTTACGTGAGAACGAAGAATCCTATGAAATGTTTGTAGAGGATGACCAAACATTTCAATGGCATGTGGATAATATGGAAAATTTGGGTGTATTTGGCGGCAATATGGAGCTGGCAGCTTATGCTAAGTTGCAGAAGGTGGACATCAAGATCTACCAGCCGGGATTCATGTATGTCATCATGAGTAATGGAATATACATGGTTTCTTGTACTGACGCTTTTTTGACAGATACATCATTAATGGAGGAGATGACCCCGAGGAACTACGGCAAACTCTTCATATTGCGTAAATGTCAAAAAAAAAAAAAATTAAGCTCATCATGACCAATGTGGGGAAGCATGCAGCAATTGACGTTTTAAAATCCATTTTTAGGTACCATAGCTGGGAACATTACAGCTCTGTGCGCAATATTGATGGTCCGTCCCAGGGACCTCCAGAGATAAAAGATCGTGTAATATGAACATATATTTTGTTGGCCATGTACCGGTGTTCTTACTCCGACTAATGACAGGATGTTAACCCCTTTTAGCCGATTGAACGAAGTATGAGCTCGGAGCCTACGGCTAAAGAAAAGACAGTTTTGAATGCCTGTCCACAGGCAACACTTTCTCAAGTACGAAAGATGCTTATAACACATAATCAGGACGTAGATGAAGCCATTGAAGCTTTGTATGAATCGGAGTATCAGAACGACCCTGTTGAAGAGGACGCCAGCTTGTCACCGTCCAAATTGGATGAAGTTACCGCTACCCCTGAAGAGGTTGCTAGTTCGCCCGAAAAGCCGCTTTTAGGCACACCAGATATTACAAATGACCACGACGGACAAAGTCAGGAAAGTGGTGCTGATGACAAGCGAAAACGTAAGCGGCTCACAGCACGCGATCGAAAAATGCAAGCCAAGATGAAACAGAAGCAACAGAGAAAGGCGAAGAAGAAGCCAGCAGAGGAAGAACAACAAGAAGCCAAAGTCACCTCTGAGTTACGGCAACTGTACATATGAAAACTATAGCGAACAAACCTTGGGAAATACCTTCTTCTTTTCTAATTAATTTTATTTTTTTTGCCAATGTATTGTAGAATGTTAGCTTTAATCTTGTATTGTAAGCTTTTCTTAAACAGTATTTGCACAACAGGGTCTATAACTATGCGGCATTGAATTGGAGAGTGTATCAGCAGAGTAACGGTGAAGCATACTTATGTGATATGTTACATGATAACAGTTAGCTTTAAAGGATGTTAATTTTTTTTTTTTTGAAAGAGCTCACAAAGAAGAATTTACAGTCCTTTTAGCGCTGACATCATATAAGTTCAGCTTCGTATCAAAATGTTGAACTCTGCCAAAAAATTTAAACGGATATCTTCCAATATACAATCGTTTGAAAAGTGGTTTGCGTCAGCTTGCATTTTTTTATGAATGCGAAATTTGACAGACAATCCAAATATTGTTAGCAGTAAAAATTAAAACGTGAAAGAAGATGGAACCAGAGCTTCAGGGGACACCTATGGATCTATAATTCTATCTGACATGGTTTATAATGACACATAATCAAACGGAAATCAAAGAGTATGATTTTGCTTTCAAATGATCGAGTAAAGTCCCTACGACAATATCATCAGTAGCTACCACCTTCTCAGCGAAGTACAAAGAATGATTGGACTACAAATTCCGTACCGTCTGAAATAGCTTGTATTCAGCG